GTGAGTGCCGCTTAGAGGGTAATGTTCTGAGGGGAAAAGAAGGATCGTGTGTGTGTTTACTGCAGTGTTGGTTGAAGATGTGGTTCTTGTGAGAGGTGTTGGAGAAGCCAGGGTCGCTCAGGGTCACTGATAATATTGCTAGAGTTACCCATGAAATGTCAGGTAAGTGGACACAGGTACAACTGATGTGGCATTTTGATTTGTGGCAAGGTTTTGCTCCTGGAGAGCGAAACGTTGCCATAATAAAATGTCCTATGAGTTGCATCTGTGTCGACTTATGTAGGTGTCAGTGGTTTCTTGTCTGTCTTTCTGTCTGTTTATCTCTCTGTATGCGTCTGTATTAGTGTAGTCGTGAAAATGTCTGGAGAGAGAGAGAAAGAGGTGAGAAGAATCCCTGAGCTGAGGGAAGATGATGTGTTGCGTGATGTGTTGTGTGATGTGTGTGAAGCGCTGAGTGATGTGTTGCGTGAGGCGCTGCGTGAGGCGCTGCGTGAGGCGCTGCGTCAGGCGCTGCGTCAGGCGCTGCGTCAGGCGCTGCGTGATGTCTTCCTACCTTCCTCTCACGTTCCTTCTCTCTCTCCTAACATTTACTCATTTAATTCCCTCTCTACCTTATTTGCAAGTCTGGATTCATTCTCCTTTTTTAATCCTCATTATACGCATCACTTGTAGTTGAGAGGGACAAGTAATTATTTACTCCCTGATTTACAACCACAATTTTCATAATATATTTTTTGCTATTGGAAATTCCTTCCCTACAACCTCAAGAAATCTCGGGTATTTTTTCTTAATGGTTTGTATTTTTGACAGCATGACGGCTTCTCCACGTTTTTTTTTTTCGACTCCTTGTGCTTTTTTCTGGTGTTATTCACGGCTGCTAGCAGAGTTTTGATGGCACGCATCTGTTTTGGCACACCCCACAGCTGTCTCCACAGAGAGATACTTCTGTCAGTACCTTCGTAATGGCTAGGATTGCTGGCGAGTCAGACTCAGGTGTGTGTCTGTGTATACCTGCAGGGGGACTGCTCACCTGAGAGTCTCAGGTGTGTGTCACACCTGAGGAGGGGACTGCTCACCTGAGAGTCTCAGGTGTGTGTCACACCTGCACGGTGACTGCTCACCTGAGAGTCTCAAGTGTATACTTCTTCCAGCACACCTGGAGGGGCAAATTAAACCTCGATATACCTTTAAGAACAACGTAAATCCCTCAAACTACCAAGCATACCTCTGCCTAGCGCCCACAACCCAGCCATTACGAAACATCAGAAAGCCTTTATATTAAATATTCTAGAATATATATAGTATTGCATTTTATTTCGTTCTTTGATTCACTATACATATTTAACTTAGTTTCATTACAGTTCGCGTTGCACTTAACTAATTACAGGTGCACGACGACCACTATAACCTACCCACAGTTTCAAGACTCTCCAAAGAACTATTCAAGAAGGTGATAACTGGTAGTCCCTCAGTCTCTTTCTTACATTTATTTTTCTCTTTCTCCCAACAGCATCAAAACAAAAATCTCAAAAAAAAAAAAAATCTCGTAGTTACAAAATACAGACAATTCTCTTACGAAGATGTATATTGTGTGATTTTTTTTTTTTAGTGGGGGTTGAAAGATTGTGTCAGTCACAATCATGATTAATTGTGATTGTTTCAGTTGCATTTATGGAAGGGGTTTTAATGTAGAGAGAGTTGTTTGGGTTAAACCAAGAAGGGGTTACTCTAAGTGTATTTTTGGGGGAGGTAAAGCCTAATGTATACTGGGAGGTGTATGTCTCTCAGTGTATGTATACTGGGAGGTGTATGTCTCTCAGTGTATGTATACTGGGAGGTGTATGCCCTTTTTTCAGTGTATTTTTAATACTGGAGAGTGTATGTCTCTCAGTGTATGTATACTGGGAGGTGTAATGTCTCTCATTTGTATGTATACTGGGAGGTGTATGTCTCTCATTTGTATACTGGAGGTGTATGTCTCTGTGAATGTATACTGGGGGGTGTATTGTCTCAGTGTATGTATACTGGGAGGTGTATGTCTCTCAGTGTATGTATATGGGAGGTGTATGTCTCTCAATGTATACTGGGAGGTGTATGTCTCTCAGTGTATGTATACTGGGAGGTGTATGTCTCTCAGTGTATGTATACTGGGAGGTGTATGTCTCTCAATGTATACTGAGAGGTGTATGTCTCTCAGTGTATGTATACTGGGAGGTGTATGTCTCTCAGTGTATGTATACGGGGGTTTGTATGTCTCTCAGTGTATGTATACTGGGAGGTGTATGTCTCTCAGTGTATGTATACTGGGAGGTGTATGTCTCTCAATGTATACTGAGAGGTGTATGTCTCTCAGTGTATGTATACTGGGAGGTGTATGTCTCTCAGTGTATGTATACAGGGAGGTGTATGTCTCTCAATGTATACTGAGAGGTGAAATGTCTCTCAGTGTTGTAAAAACGGGGAGGTGTATGTCTCTCAGTGTATGTATACTGGGAGGTGTATGTCTCTCAATGTATACTGAGAGGTGTATGTCTCTCAGTGTATGTATACTGGGAGGTGTATGTCTCTCAGTGTATGTATACTGGGAGGTGTATGTCTCTCAGTGTATGTATACTGGGTGGTGTATGTCTCTCAGTGTATGTATACTGAGAGTGTGATGTCTCTCAGTGTATGTATACTGGTGGTGTATGTCTCTCAGTGTATGTATACTGGGAGGTGTATGTCTCTCAGTGTATGTATACTGGGAGGTGTATGTCTCTCAGTGTATGTATACTGAGAGGTGTATGTCTCTCAGTGTAAGTATACTGGGAGGTGTATGTCTCTCAGTGTATGTATACTGGGAGGTGTATGTCTCTCAGTGTATGTATACTGGGAGGTGTATGTCTCTCAGTGTATGTATACTGGGAGGTGTATGTCTCTCAGTGTATGTATACTGGGAGGTGTATGTCTCTCAGTGTATGTATACTGGGAGGTGTATGTCTCTCAGTGTATGTATACTGGGAGGTGTATGTCTCTCAGTGTATGTATACTGGGAGGTGTATGTCTCTCAGTGTATGTATACTGGGAGGTGTATATCTCTCAGTGTATGTATACTGAGAGGTGTATGTCTCTCAGTGTATTTATACTGGGAGGTGTATGTCTCTCAGTGTATGTATACTGGGAGTGTATGTCTCTCAGTGTATGTATACTGGGAGGTGTATGTCTCTCAGTGTATGTATACTGGGAGGTGTATGTCTCTCAGTGTATGTATACTGGGAGGTGTATGTCTCTCAGTGTATGTATACTGAGAGGTGTATGTCTCTCAGTGTATGTATACTGGGAGGTGTATGTCTCTCAGTGTATGTATACTGGGAGGTGTATGTCTCTCAGTGTATGTATACTGGGAGGTGTAAATGTCTCTCATGTATGTATACTGGGAGGTGTATGTCTCTCAGTGTATGTATACTGGGAGGTGTATGTCTCTCAGTGTATGTATACTGGGAGGTGTATGTCTCTCAGTGTATGTATACTGAGAGGTGTATGTCTCTCAGTGTATGTATACTGGGAGGTGTATGTCTCTCAGTGTATGTATACTGGGAGGTGTATGTCTCTCAGTGTATGTATACTGGGAGGTGTATGTCTCTCAGTGTATGTATACTGGGAGGTGTATGTCTCTCAGTGTATGTATACTGGGAGGTGTATGTCTCTCAGTGTATGTATACTGGGAGGTGTATGTCTCTCAGTGTATGTATACTGGGAGGTGTATGTCTCTCAGTGTATGTATACTGGGAGGTGTATGTCTCTCAGTGTATGTATACTGGGAGGTGTATGTCTCTCAGTGTATGTATACTGGGAGGTGTATGTCTCTCAGTGTATGTATACTGGGAGGTGTATGTCTCTCAGTGTATGTATACTGGGAGGTGTATGTCTCTCTCTTGTATGTATACTGGGAGGTGTATGTCTCTCAGTGTATGTATACTGGGAGGTGTATGTCTCTCAGTGTATGTATACTGGGAGGTGTATGTCTCTCAGTGTATGTATACTGGGAGGTGTATGTCTCTCAGTGTATGTATACTGGGAGGTGTATGTCTCTCATTGTATGTATACTGGGAGGTGTATGTCTCTCAGTGTATGTATACTGGGAGGTGTATGTCTCTCAGTGTATGTATACTGGGAGGTGTATGTCTCTCAGTGTATGTATACTGGGAGGTGTATGTTCTCTCAGTGTATGTATACTGGGTGGTGTATGTCTCTCAGTGTATGTATACTGAGAGGTGTATGTCTCTCAGTGTATGTATACTGGGTGGTGTATGTCTCTCAGTGTATGTATACTGAGAGGTGTATGTCTCTCAGTGTATGTATACTGGGTGGTGTATGTCTCTCAGTGTATGTATACCGAGAGGTGTATGTCTCTCAGTGTATGTATACTGGGTGGTGTATGTCTCCTCAGTGTATGTATACTGAGAGGTGTATGTCTCTCAGTGCATGTATACTGGGTGGTGTATGTCTCTCAGTGTATGTATACTGAGAGGTGTATGTCTCTCAGTGTATGTATACTGGGTGGTGTATGCCTCTCAGTGTATGTATACTGAGAGGTGTATGTCTCTCAGTGTATGTATATTGGGTGGTGTATGTCTCTCAGTGTATGTATACTGAGAGGTGTATGTCTCTCAGTGTATGTATACTGGGAGGTGTATGTCTCTCACTGTATGTATACTGGGAGGTGTATGTCTCTCATTGTATGTATACTGAGAGGTGTATGTCTCTCAGTGTATGTATACTGGGAGGTGTATGTCTCTCAGTGTATGTATACTGGGAGGTGTATGTCTCTCATTGTATGTATACTGAGAGGTGTATGTCTCTCAGTGTATGTATACTGGGAGGTGTAATGTCTCTCATGTATGTATACTGAGAGGTGTGTGTCTCTCAGTGTATGTATACTGAGAGGTGTATGTCTCTCAGTGTTATATACTGAGAGGTGTATGTCTCTCAGTGTATGTATACTGAGAGGTGTATATCTC